CTGTGTCCTCAGTGGCCTCTTAAGTAATGGAAAGCTGCTATTAGGTTCTCCCAGTGCCACCTTTTCTCCAGGATGATCAAGCCCTCTTCCCTCAGCCTTTCCTTAGAGGGCTAGTGTTTCCCCTTACTGACCATCGTGATGGCCCTCTGCTGAACCTGCTCAAGTTTAGCAATATTTTTTTTTTTGCACTGGGGGTCCAAAACTGATCATAATACTTCCTATCATAAATGGTAACCTTGATAAGGCATGTCTAAGACATCGCTGTAGTTAAAAGTGACTTTTCATGTATGCCTGTTGTGGTCACTGAAGTGTTAGCTTGGCTTGAGTCTGACTTTAAACACCATGAGCATAAAGGATGGTTTTGAAAGAATGCTTTGTTTTGTTTAATGTGAAGGTAGCAGTCAGAGGAAACACCATGAAAACTGATTTAAATTAAACTCATGCGGATCTCTATTTTGTTACCATAGATGGTCATGTGAAGCAGATGAAAGTTGGGGGGGTTTAATTATTATTATTATTTTAATAGGACTAATTCTTTATAGAAGCTCCTTCTCTCCCTATCCTCTTTATAGAGGAAGATTTTTACAGAATTACTTAGTTTAGATATTCTGTAAGTTTATTCCATAGATCATCTGAATCAAAAATACTTTGTATCTCATTCTACATGATTTGTTCTTGGCTTTGTGATCTGCGTTGCTACATCAACCGTGGTGATCTATGGATGAAGTTCTGCCTTTGAAAGTAGAATGTGACTTATTGATGGCTTTAAAATTTAAGCCTGAGACTGTGGAAGTTTGGAGAAAGATTTCACTAGTGTAGTAGTACCTGCTGAAGACATGGAAAGAGATACATATAATTAAGATTTTTAATGCTTCTAAAGAAAATTGTAAAGAAACTATGCAGAAACAGTCTTTAACTATTCCTATCCAGATCAATAGATACATTTTAGTACCATAACTTATCTTACCTGTTTTTCTAAATATTGTCTGGGTAACCTTTTTCAACAACCTCACCATCACCGCCCCACCTTATATGTGAGGGCATGAAGGAAGTTCAAAAATCAGTCTGCCCATCATCTGCTTGCTACTTAATGAAGTCTGTTATTTCATGACTGTATTGGCAAGTGTTTTTCATAACTCCCTGGCAGTAAATTTAGTTTGTCAAATATCTTCCATGTGGAAAAAACAAAAAGCAAGCAGATGTTAATGAGTTATGGTGAGTTAAGTAATTCTGCTACAGAACTCTGGATTCTGTTGGTATGGTAAGAGCTTGGAAGAAAGCTAGCTTTTATATTTCTACAGGTTTTATTATTTCAGAGAAATAAATTAGAGCAATAGACAAGTTTTTGTGTAGGTTTGACTAAATGTTACTGTATTAATTTGTGCTTGACTCATGCTTTCAAAATATTCTCTCCATACGTAAACTGTCATTCTTCAGTTTAAAATCATGTTGTTGTTTTTAAGCTGCAAAGTTAGGCATTCATAAGTTCAAAATGTAATAATCTACTTTCCTGGATGAGATTGCTTTATGGTGTATGCCATACTTTTTTTTTCCTTGCCATAAAGTCATCTTTTGAATATTTGTTCTTGTAGTCCTATTTTTGTCACCATGCCTCTTTTTTGTCCCATAAAGCAAGGTCCTGTATTTTCTTAGTATCTGTAATGTAATTGTTGAATTTTTTTATAAAATCTAATGCCTCAGGGGATCTGATGGCCGGAAGTAAAAAAGCTAATCCAAATCCAAGGAAGTGCAGGAGAAAAATATCAGGACTTTCTGATACAGAAGGAAAAGGGGAGAAGTGAATGGTCACTGCACAGCTCTGACTTTGAGGTAGAGAGGAACAGACATGTTCCCTATGGGACACATTTCACGTTGCTGCTGAATCCAGTGCTACTCCCATTCAAACTGTCTGGAAGTTGTCTCTACTTTGGGATCTTTCATTGTCCCAGCCAGTCCAGCTTCAGCCTCAATACATATGCTCAGGGAAGGGTTCATTGTGAGTCACTTGTGATGAAGTGAGAGCGACTACACTAGAGATCAAAAGTAGAACACTTCTGCAATTTCATAGTAGCTGCCTGAATTGTAGTAATATTGACTGAATAAGCACATGATGAATTGTAGTAACCAGAGCTGTATCATAGCTGTTACCCTACCACATCACCAAGTCAAGCATTAGCAGCACTTGAGCTTCCAGGCACTCCTATGATACTAAAAAGCATAGCTTAACTCAAACTGGAGAGCAACATGTGTGGATAGGGTAATCACTAAAGTTAACATTGCAGTGAAAGGCGACCTTATGTTTCTGCTGCTCAATGACAGCCCCGGTACCAGAGGAGTTATTTGCAGCAGAGAATTTAGACAGCATGTAGCACTTACCTTCCTTCACCAACAAGGCTTGTGATGCCTCAACATTAAGTAAATGAGAAGTCTGGAATAATAGAGAGCTTGAATCTAGTCCAAATGTTAGAGCTCTCTGCTGTAACCAGATAGTCTTGTATTCTTGCTGACTAATTGAGGGTGTTATTTAGTCTTTAAATTCAACGAGAATGCAACCACAATTCTCACAAAAGAAGTTCTACAATAGTATAGTGGCATCTGGAGTAGTGCCAGTAGGTATCGGACTGAAAAAATGAGACTCTTGAGAGGGAAAAGTTCTGCAGTAATTGGCCTGTGGAAGTTTTATTCCAGGCAGAACTATGGCACAATCTTTTGTTACAAGTAAAATGATTTTTACTTGTTAAAATAAGAATGGATTTTATTTTTTTAATAGCAAGAGCAACATTTTTGGAGCTATGTAGCCACATTTATTTTTCTGCTTCTAGGTAATCCATGCTTCATACATAAGATTGTTTCCTTTCTTGTTGACATATTAGTATTGTTTTGATCTTACATTAATTTTTTTTTTTTTAGAAAAAGAGAACAAAACACTTTAAAGCTCTTTTATTAGGTTTTGAATTTATGATTACTTATTTTTTGCTTTATAAGCTGTAATTGTGAGATCACTATTTCTGAACAGTCCTTTCTCTTTAATGGATAATCAGTTTCAGTTACTGAATTTCTCAACAGCTATTGTAGGAAAAATGTATGAATAGATACATCAAAGGTATTCAACTGCCAGAATAATTTTGGCCTCATCTTACTGTATTACTATTTTAATGTATTCACTTCTGATCCTTTTAAAGCTGAAATAGTTGGGTATTATGAGTGTTGTGACTTCAAACATTGGCAGGCCTTGAAGCAACAAAGCTAGGAATTATTATAGCATATCTGGAAGAGCAGCATACTTTCATTTTGCATTACTGCAAGTCATGAATCATCTAGGGAAATACCCACATAGTTTGATCACGACTTATTCACACCTAAGAATACTGCTTTTCTCCTAGTCCCAAACCAGATGTGATTGGACTGATCCATACTCAAGGATACTCTTTAAAGAATAGGTCAATCTTCTCTACTTAGAAAAATTACAAGATGTATTGAGAAGTTTCTTGTACCAGCAATACATTGCTTTCGCATCACCAGGGTGTAGTCTTTAGTAGATTGTTTCTTAGATGTTGTACGCTGTTACTGTTTCTGCAGACATACTCCCATTATGGCCTGATGAAGTGTTACATCTTTTCTGAACTTTTACTAAGCTATTTCTCCCACAGTCTGCTCTCTGCTGCATGTTCTTTGTTCTGTCTTTTGCACAAGTAGTCTTACAAGACTTTTATCTTCTCAGGCTTCTATCTCACCATTACCTTTAAGTTCTTGTTAATCTGGCATCTCTCCCTTCTCACTTGCATGGTCTTCTCCTTCCCGTCTTTTCTCATTCTTCCGCTACCTTGCCTCTTCCTTCCATAATTGTTATTTCTCTTCATTGGTCAGTGACATTCATAGATCTTTCTAATCATCAGAAATTAAAACAGGCATGTTTTTTTTCCTAGATATTTTCTTTGCAGACCTCTTAAAGTACAAGTGTGAAATGATGTTGTTGATAAAGTCGCGGGATAACTGGTTGTGTGACAGTCTGCAGTTGTTTTGATGTTGTAGGCGGAAGGAGCAGTGCCTTTCATAGTTTCTGCTTCCCTGTAATTTCCTAGGTGTTGTCTTGAAAGTGTATGAATATTATAGTTTTCAGGCAGCCTGCTCTCAATGTTTTAGTATGATGATTGCAGAATGGTAGGTTACAATTTAATATAGTTAGCTGTCACTTTTAAACTACATAAATGCATAAGTTCTACCAACAGCTTTGTTTGCTTATCTGATGCTTAAATGTTCAGAAAGGAAGAAAGACAAACTTTTATGTCATCTTGCCATCCTTAAAAGGAGAGGAAGAATGGCATTGTACTTTTGAATGTTTGTTTAGCACTAATTGATAAATATTTTCCCTCTAACTGTTCTATAAAATGTAGGAGAAGTAAAAAGGGCAGAATAAAAAACAACTCCCCTTCCAATGCACACCTTCACAGGAACTTGACTTCACAGGATCTGACTTTTTTCCCCCTGCAGCACATGTTTATGAACAAATAATCTTTATATACAGTAAAATGTGTTATTTGAAAGTCAAATATAATGCAAAATAAATCTGTTTTGGCTTATGTAGATAGTGTGAAACATCAAAGTTGGGTTGCTTGCATTGCTGAATCTGTATTCCTGTAGTTTTCATTTGTAGTCAGTGCAACCATGTAGCCATGCTTGCAAAGTATATGTTAGAAACAGAAACAACGTTAGGAGTTCATGGTACAGAACACAAGGTGAAGCAAAACTCAGAGGTGAAGAAGGGAGACTTA